TGGATTGATCGCAACTCCCTTGGGGAAAAGTTTACATTGGACAAAGCCTACGCCGACATTTTCTACTTAACGGGTATTCCATTTCGATTTGCTTACAGCCCCGCATTGGAAACATTCATCAAGCTTGCTCGGCCGGCGTATGCACCTCCCACCACCAAGGCCATCACTGAGCCGTTGCTCAATCATGCTCATCAGGACATGATGGCCAAGATGAACCAGCTCGTTCAAGACCAGACTCGCATCAGCCTCGTGTCGGACGGGTGGACATCTCTACGCAACGAGCACATGGTGAATTTTGTCCTTGAAGCCAGTTTCACTACTCTCTACAAGTCATGCATAGTACAGTGTACCATCAGCTCGGAACATATGCCTCTCCTGACCTAGGTCATATGTCACACTCATCAAATGTCGTGCTTGACCAACATTCGGCTACCCACACTCAGGCACGGGGAGTGGAACAGAGACTCGGCCGATAACACTTTCCCCCCTACATCGGGTGACAACATGCACTCGTGAGATCGTCAATCATTTCGTTCTCGCCTTCTTCGTTGCTCCGGGCCTTGGCTCAGCGACGGAATACCACAGGAACATCTTCGTAGATCGATAGGGCCGGTTCCCAGGACGACTCCAGATCGTCCAGGCCAAGCCACTTGATCAGGACTTCCCAGACCCCATCTCGCAGACGCAGGTCCCGGAGGTCTTCCACGTAAAAACCTTCATCGCTGAACGCGATTTGGGCCTTCAAACCTTCATTGACTGCACATCCGCCCTCACAGTACAGGCGGAGCCGGCATGCATGGTGCAGGGACGTTGCTCCCGGAGGCACCAGCTGCTGGACTTCAATCAGGTAGTCGGAGACCACCTTCACGACCCAGAAGGGTCCCTTCCAAAGCAACGTTAGCTTTCCCGGATGCTGGAGAGCCCGGGCCACCAAAACAAAATCGCCCAGCGTAAATTTCGCCAGCTTCACGGAACGTTGACCATCACGACGGTACCAGGCCTTAGCGCGCTTTGCTGCCGCCGTCTCTGCCACGTGCTTGCGCATTATTCCCAGGGCATCTGCGAGCTCCGTCACGTGGCGTATCGCTCGGGACTTAATCCAGTCGATCGTTACCTCCCGGGGCTCATCCGGGTGGACCAGTCCAGTCAGGGGAGGTGTAGCAGGCAGGCCCGTAAACGACGTCGTTGGCGCTACGC